CTATTATACTTGCCCCTTTATTTGAACAATATGTAAACTCTCCATCCGAATCAACTCAAGGGTCACCATTTAAGATTCTAAAGCCTAAATTAACCACAGAATTTGACATCTTGACATCAAGACTTGATCCCTGAATAATTTATATTAGGATCTTAAGAAATATGATGAGTGGGAGAGATCTAATAAGCTGGGTACTTTAACAGTCCATACATCAGATTTACTGTTGTTACCAATCATTGCACTGAAATCACCAGCAAGTATGAGTATTGCACCAGGGTGATTTGATTGCAAAATCAGTATATAGCATTCTAATAAATCCCATTCATCATCTACTTCTCCTTGTGTAGCTCGAGAAGGGAAATATATGTTAATCAGAATTATGAATTTATTATAAGTTATTATCTGAATTGGGCCACGGTGGCTCAGAGGTTAAGACGCTGAGCTGCAGACTGGAAGGTCTATAGTTTGAGGCCCTAGTGCTGTGTGACAGAGTGAGCTCCCGTCTCTGGCCTGCCAACCTCTGGTCTCTCCTGCGAACCCAGCAGTTCGAAAGCAAGAAATTGCAAGTAGTTAAATAGGTACCGCTGCGGTGGGAAGGTAACAGCGTTCCATGCACCTCAGCATTTAGTCATGCTGGCCACATGACCATGGAGAAGTCTTCGGACAGCGCTAGCTCTTCGGCTTGGAAATGGACCCCCTAGAGTCGGATTCGACTGGCTTTCGAGCAAGGGAAACATTTACCTTTACTTTATTATCTGAAGAGCAATAGCAATATTATTGGGAGCAGAATAGATTAGCTTTTGTTGGGTAAATTTCTGAGAAACATATGTGGTTACGCCACCACTAGGATGTCCTTTAGTTCTCTGGGCGGTTACAAAAAGAAGATAAAACCTGTTAGAGAAATATCTTTCAAAGCCCATGTCTCCTGGATCATCAAGCAATCAAATATCTGAAAGTAAAGTAGAATTTCCAGATCCTGAAGGGCTCTCTTTAGCCCCACAGCATTCCAGCTCAACACTGGGCCAAGTTCTAAAGGTTTCTCTAACTTTTCAGTTCTAAAAAAATCATAATCCTCTCTTGCAGTTACAATATTTGAAAAACTGATTTAGGGGTTAATGGAGAGAGCTGAACTTGTTTGGGTAAAGTCCCCTTTTGGTTTGGTTGGGGAGTCACTAGTGACACTAAAGGTTGAGTTTGGATTGTCAGTGGTACTTTTAAGATCTCAACCGAAGGGTCCACTATTTGATTTTCTGTAGACAAATGGCTCTCTTTATTATATTTGTTTTCCCCACCCTTGACTATTGTTGAGCTATTGCTAAAAATATTAGCTGCTCATCCATTTTTGTTTGATCCAACTTCGATACTTTAGTTTTAAGTAACCCTAGTTTCAATATCAGGGAGTCTTGCTCCTCCTGTAGATGTACGTTGGTAGATCCCATTAACTGTATCAGTTAAGTTCAAGGTTGATGATAATCATGAGAGACTGGAGCTATTGTCTTTAATGGAACAGTGGTCTGAAGTTTCCTACTGAGAGTGTTTTCCTGAAGTCAATAAAGTATAGGGTTGCCAGTCCCCAGGTCCCGGTGGGGGTTTCCACACTTTGGGGACTTCTGCCTGCTACTGGCCAGCTGGCCGGTGGGGGAAACTCTGCCTCCAAACAACCATATCTGGGCACAATGTCCCTGATGCTATGATGTCACCCAGAAGTGACATCATCAAGTACACGATGGCTCTGGTACACGATGCTCTATTGTAAATTTGACCTAAAACCATAGGATTTTGCCCTTAAACCAGGGCATCACTGTGCAGCATCACCGACACGGTGATGTCACAGTTTGGTGTAGTGGATAGGAGCACAGACTCTAATCTAGGAGAACCAGGTTTGATTCCCCACTCCTCCACATGCAGCTGATGGTGTGACCTTGGGTCAGTCACAAGTTCTCTCAGAGCTGTTCTCTCAAGAACAGTTTTCTCAGAGCTCTCTCAACCCCACCTACCTCCCAGGGTGTCTGTTGTGGGGAGGGAAAGGAGATTGTAAACTGCTCTGAGACTCTGGGTGAAGGGTGGGGTATAAATCCAATCTCTTCTTCTCTTCTTTAAAGGTCAATACCAGTATTAGCCTAGGAACAAATTGGTAACCAATGTAGTTGGTACAAGACCTGTTTCATGTGCTAATTCTGGTGCGTCCCAGTCAAGACTCTTCTTGCTACATTCTGTGATGGTTGACATTTCAGAACTGAATTCAAGGACAGCCCCAAGTAAAGCCTATTGCAGTAGTATCTCAATGTTACCAACACATGTGTGATTGTGAGTAGGAAGAAGGCTGCATGCACCAGTAGGAAGGAAGAAAGAGGAACAAGGTGCAAGGTTGAGGAGTTTGATTAGATCTTCTAGATTTAAAAGCATTTTCCCAGAAATGACTCTATCACATGAATGTAATTTGTAAAAGAAATTCTTATTTCCATTCAGACCCAGTCTACTCAGAATCCTACTGGTACATTCAGTGGGGCTTATTCCAAGGGGAGTTTTCTTAGGATTGCAGTCAAAGACTTATTTATCCAGACAGTGAGGCCTCCAGGAACACTCACAGTGTGTATCTAATCTTTTTTGGGGGGAAATATAACCCTCTCTGTTCTAACCAGGATAGCCCAGGATAGCCTGATCTCGTCATATCTCAGAAGCTAAGCAGGATCAAGCCTGGCTAATATTTGGATGTGAGATCTCTAAGGAATACCAGGGTTATGACATGGAGGCAGGCAATAGCAAACCACCTCTGAACATCTCTTGCCTGGAAAACCCTACAGGGTCACCATGGGTCACCTGTCATTTGACTACAAAATAATAACAATCCTCTCTAGAACAGGCTGATTCCTGACCCAAATCACTTCCGTTTTTCTGTATTAAGTTTAATTTTAATTCAGGCCTTCATTCTCCCCAGAGCCAGTTTGGTGTAGTGGTTAGGAGTGCAGACACTAATTTGGGAGAACCAGTTTGAGTCCCCACTCCTCCACATGCAGCTGCTGGCATGACCTTGGGTCAGTCACAAGTTCTTTCAGAGCTGTTCTCGAAAGAGCAGTTCTCGAAAGAACTCTCTCAGCCCCACCTACCTCCCAGGGTGTCTGTTGTGGGGAAGGGAAGGGAAAGGAGATTGTAAGCCGCTCTGAGATTCCTTCGGGTAGTGAAGGGCAGAGTATACACCAATCTCTTCCTCCTCCTCTTCTTCTTCAACATGTCCACTACCTCTCTAGAATTAGATAGAAATCAGAAAGGGGAGATAGAAAAGTATATTATCAGCATGTTGATGGCACTGTGTCATGAATCTGTGGATGATCTTTCTCGGCTGCTTTGTAGAGATGTTAAATGGCATAGGAGGCAAGAAGGAATGTTACAGTACCCTTAAACCAAAAGTCATGGGGCAGAATAGAAGTCCCAAGCAGTATCTTCTGGAACCTACCTTCTAGAAGAGATTTATACAGCATGTGGTTGTCTTCACATCTCTAGAAGAGATTTATACAGCATGTGGTTTTCACTCCTCCAGGTATCTTGTCTACATCTTAAGTTTTCAATAGCTGCAATGTAACCATATGAACATGTCAAACAGACACTTTAAGAACATTCAGCTCCACTGAGGTGACTCCGTGTACTCTTCCCCCTACTACTGGGCTTGGCCTACTGTTGTACTGTAAAATACAGAGTCAGGGCAAATTCTAGATAATGAGCCAGGGACCACAGCTTTATATTTCCCTAACTGGATTAATATTTCCCCCCCGTTAGTCTCTAGTAGGAAGGAAATCACAATGGTAGCATTTTTCTTTGAACTGAATAGAACAGCTGTTGGGAAAGCTATACGTCTATTTATATTGTGATTGTTACTTATTTACCATACTTGGTACTTTAGCTGGCATGCAGAATAACTGACTGGGAACGTATATCTTAAGCCTGACTTAATCTGATGAGTCAAGCTGTGATCTAGCCGGATTCTTGCATCACACCATAGTAGGTTTAGAGAATCATTTGTCCCTGGGTTGTTATAATAGTGCATTGTAGAATCTGATTCCTTCCAAGATATTTCATTGGTAAGGAGTGATATCTATAACCAGCAGAACAGCTAGTTTTATTATAACCACTGATCTTTATCTTCAATTCCTTTTATGTCTATTTCTGCCCTCTGATTATATTTTATGAAAAGTGCAACTGCAATATATTTTTTCTTTTGGACATCAAAATATTATTAGTTGTATGATGACATAATGATACTGACTGTCAAATTACTTCAAAACAATGTGACATTTTTGCATGCATGTGCATACACACATAACCTACTGAGTTATGGCTTCTACCATTATCTTCTGTTTTACTGATGTGACATTTTCTGCAGGAATGATCAAAGCATTGCAGTTTCACTAGTGAAAGCACATTTCTCATGGCCCATGCAAGATCACTACCAGTGCAGTCCTGCATAAGTCCTGCCTAAGTCTATTGAAATCATTGCACATAGAGATCTGATTATTAAAGCATGGTCCGGATTCAAAGATCAATGGAACTATTTCTGTTTTTAAAGGGTCTTCAAAGGTAGGTGTGCCTTCTTCCAAGTGGCTGCTGCAACATGATGTGCCACATGATCCCTCCCTGTACTAAGGAGAGGGAGGGACTGCAGTTTTGAAGAAAGAGGTGATTCCCCCCCCCCTCTTGAGAACTGCTGCTCTTTCTGAAAAAGTTTGTTCACATTAAAGAGATATTTAATTTGGTGGGACTCCTTTGAAATGCTCATGCCTAAAAACAAGCCTTAGCTCTGATTGGTTTACTGTGACAAGTGGCAGAGTCAAAATATTTCTAATTCTTGCCATGGTGACTCCTGATGCAACAAGGATTTCCCCCCAAAAAAGTGTGCAAAGCATATTTTTTCCCAAAAACTGTTTCATGTTTTCTCTAAAAAAATAAACTTGGTCATGAACATGTCACTTGATGCATCTGAAGTTTTCTTCTCTCTTGATGTGCAGTTGATAGACGATATGAAGCCTTTGCGTCCCTATGAGCGCTTTGATACACTTTGTCAGTTTCTGGAGCATGATGGACATGTTTTACGTTTTTATGGTGTGTGGGATGACACCGAAAGCATGTTTGGGGATGTTCGAGAAGTGGTGCTACATTATTTTTTGGCTGATGACACTATTGAGATAAAAGAAACGATACCGGTGAATGCAGGTCGAGACGCTGTACCTCTGTTCCTCAATAGGCAGAAGCTACCAAAGGTAAAGAAATAAATGGTATTGTGTCTCTGTTTAAGGTATTCCCTCAGTAACTAAAGTGGCTTGAGTGTTCCAGATACAATCCTACGAGTTGGTGATCCTTAAAAATATCTCTCATTCTTTCAGTAGGACATGCAAGTACCCAAAGCTGTACCTAAGTGTGAGATCGTACCCATTAAGCCTTAAATGGTTTGGGTTTAAAAGGCTGTCTGGCTCCCTATGCCTCTGTGGGCAGCTGTATGTTTTTTCCATGGATGAGGGTTACCCAACAATTGCTGAATCCTTTTTACACCCCCCTAATCCTACTCACCCTACTAATATTTGCCAAACTCCACACTCTAATATGTATAGCCTTTTTAGCTGAGCGCTTTTTTGATGGCCAAATGGAGTTCATATACAGTCTTTTATATCTTATTGGCCAGCAGAACCTTCTACGTTTTGCATTTCTCATTTTTACTAACAATCTGTTGGGATTGTACACTCCTAGGCTCTAAGTTTTTTAAAATTCCAAAATAATGTTAATGAGAGCTAGTTCCATCCCCTTGATAATCAAGAGCACAAAAGTCACACTCATCTATTCCTTTCTTGTGCTTGGTTTCTAATGTCAGTGGTAGCACTATATGCTGTTTGGTGGATGCAGTTGGCCTAATTTATTTATTTATTTACATTATTTATAGTCTGCCTTTCTCACGGGGACTCAAGGTGGATTACACATAGTGAGTCTGTACAGTCAACAGAATGGGACATTCAGTAATCAATACATTAGGGTTTTAGAAGTCTGGATCCACTAGGAAGAACTGAAGCATAGCAAAAGTAGCATGATTGAGGTTTATAAGATTATGCATGGGATAGAGCAGGTTGAGAAAGTACTTTTCTCCCTTTCTCACAATACAAGAACTCGTGGGCACTCAATGAAATTGCTGAGAGGTTAGAACAGATAAAAGGAAGTACTTCTTCACCCAAAGAGTGATTAACGCATGGAATTCACTGCCACAGGAGGTGGTGGTGGCTACAAGCATGGACGGCTTCAAGAGGGAATTAGATAAACATATGGAGCAGACGTCCATCAGTGGATATTAGCCACAAGGTATAGATAGAAACTCTCAGTCTGGGGCAAGTGATTCTCGGGGGGGGGGGCACAGTGGGAGGGCTTCTAGTGTCCTGGCCCCTCTGGTGGACATCCTGATGGCACCTGGTATTTTTGGCCACTGTGTGACAGAGTGTTGGATTGGATGGGCCATTGGCCTGATCCAACATTGGCTTCTCTTATGTTCTTACTAGCAGTAAAGCCCGTTGTGGAAATAAATACAACGAGATCTAGAAAGAGGCTCTGGGGGAGTGCTCTGGCTTTGGGCAAACAGTGTCATTTTGCTGTGGTGACCTCAGCAGGGTATAATGACAGAGTCCACTGTTTTCTCCAGAGGAACTGATCTCTGCTCCCTGAAGAGCAGTTGTAATTTTGAGTGATCTGTAGCCCTCACCTGGAGATTGGCAACAATTGTTACCCAGGATGAAATGGCTGGTTTGGAGGGTGGAGTCTATGGCATTCTACCTGTCTGAGGTCCCACCCCTCCGCAAACCCCACCCTCTCCAGGCTCCACCCCTCAAATCCCCAGGAATTTGCCAGCCTGGAGTTGGCAACCCCATCTCCTTCCCAGCTAACCATCAACCTACCATTATCTGCCCCTTTGACTTCAGCTGACTTCCGCCCTCCCTTCTGCAGAGCAATTGTAATTTTGAGTGGTCTCCAGCCCTCACCTGGAGATTGGCAACAATGGTTCCCCATGAGGGACTGAGTGGTTTGGAGGGTGGAGTCTATGGCATTGTACCTGTCTGAGGTCCCACCCCTCCTCAAACCTCACCCTCTTCAGGCTCCATCCCTCAAATCTCCAGGAATTTCCCATCGGGAGTTGGCAACCCTATCAGGATTGGCCCCAATATGTTTTCTCCCAAAGGCCAAAGTAGGTGACTGGACCAAACTAAGTTGCCTACCATCAGGCACTGAGGGGAAAGTAGGGTTGCCAGCTATAAGGAGGGAAATACCTGGAGTGTTGGGGGGTGGATTCTGTAGAGGGCAGCATTGGGGGGCGGGCGGAAGGACTCAGCAGGTATAATGTCATAGGGTCTACCCTCCAAAGCAGCCATTTTCTCCAGGGGAAACTGATCTCTGTCATCTGGAAATCAATTGTAGCAGTGGGAGATCTCCAGGTCCCACCTGGAGATTGGCAACCCTAGGGGAAAGTCTGCTGCACAGCAGGGGCTTGAAGAGAATGGTTTGATGGCTGCTGGGCCAAGATTGGCAACAATAGTTCCCCAGGAGCAAATAGCTGGGTTGGAGGGTGGAGTCTATGGCACTGTAACCTGTCTGAGGTCCCCCTCTCCGGCCTCCACTCCTCAAATCTCCAGGAATTTCCATACCTAAAGCTGGCAACTTTATTTCCTCCCCTCTCAGTAGCCTCTTATTTTGCCTTAAATTGGTTTTGATGTCAGCAGAGTGAGAAAATGCCAGAGGCTCTGGGTGGGTGCCCCATCGTAAATGCACCAAACAATTCCTAAAGATTTGCCAAAACACTACTCTGTCAATAAATTGCAGCACTTTGAAGTAGCACCAGAGCTTTAAGAGCTCTCCAGCTGTCACCTGGAGACTGGCAACAGCTTGTTTGGAGGGTGGGGAGTATGGCATTGTATCTGTCTGAGGTCCCCCTCTTCCTCCTCCTCCTCCTCAGACCCCACCCTCAGCAGGCTTCATCCCCAAAATATCCTGGAAGTTTCCAACCTGGAGTTGGCAACCCTATGTCCCCCCCCAGCCTCTGCCTAGAGAAAGGGCAGTCTTTCCCTGCAGTGGGAACCAAAGCAGCTGTCATCATTCTCCTCTCCCCCTATGAGGTATGTTAAGGTTGAAAGTGTGTGAATGGTCCATAATCCCCCAGGCAGCTTTTAAAACATGATCCTGGGACCTACACAACCCCAGACATTCCAACTGCCTTGCGGGGGGGAGGGAGTATGAGGTGTGGAATGGAGTGAAGTCCAATCAGCTTCCATATGCAAAAGACCTTGAAGGTTCCATATGCAACTGACATTCCAACTGCCTTGCGGGGAGGGGGGTGAGTTTGAGGTGTGGAATGCAGTGAAGTCCAATCAGCTTCCATATGCAAAAGACCTTGAAACGCTGGGCGGGACTGCACAAAGCAGCCAGTCAACCCAGCCAGCGTCTTCTGACTGACAGTTCAAGCGTCCATACACTAAAGGAGTGCATTTTAGAACTTTGGCACCCACTATTCAATTATATATAAGGAGAGATGTTCTTATTAAGTAACATGGAACATTAAGTGGTACCAAAATTATGTAATAGGATCCTACTTACAGTAAGCTATATGCTGCAGTATAGATCACAGTCTGTAGTTATTTATCCAAGTAAATTTGTGAATCATTTTGTACACACAACTCTATTACCTGTACAGAAAACCCTCAGTTCAGTTTTGTGTAGTTTGCAGAAATTCAGATGAATCGCTGCATTCAGCATCAATGTAAAAAGACTATACGACTTGATTTTGTAAACTTCTATTTATAGGTAGGCCAGATTAATTCTGTTGCATTGCTCTGATAAATGCAGATATTAACAGCCTATTGATTTTATCACCCAGTATGCTCCAGTTGGATTGTACCAGCCTGGTACAATCACAGATCGGACAGTCCTTAATGTGTTCGGAGGCTTAGTAGGAAATAGAGGTCGTTACATTCTGGACAATCGTAAGGTAAGCAAGTTCAGGCAACCATGCTCTGAAGAATGCACCTACATTTGTAGCTGTGACCTATAAATGAATAACTTTGTTTAACAAAGCAAATGAGACCTTTGCTAAAAGGTTTGCCAAATTCAGTATTTTTGTTGTTGTCTTACTGGGCGGCTCTGAAGGCAGCTTGGTTTGGGTTGAGGTTTGGGAGGGAAATAAGGGAGTTTGTTAAAAAAAATCTCTTTTTGTTTTCAGTTTCCACTTCTGAAATGTTCATCTGAATGTGAGATTCATGTAGATTTTGTGTATGTATTTCCTATTACTAGACAGGAGCTGTGCATCAGGAATTTTATAAAGACTGTGACCTGAGAATAGGGTCAGTAATCAATGTTTGGGGAAGAAAGATAGTTCTCTGCGATTGTGATGAATTTACCAAAGAATATTATAGGACAAAATATGGAGTCAGTAAGTAACAATACTGATACTTTGATGTACTAGTCTTCATTGTAAACTTGTACAGCTTTTTTTTTTTTTTTACATTTTTACAATTTATATTTGTAGAAGAGACTTTTAGTTAAAATGTATAGAAACAATGTAGTTCAGTGGCAACAACTACTGGCTATGGCCAGGAACCTCCCACAACCAGATTTTTTTTTTTTTGTTATTAGCTGTGACCACTATTTTAATATTTATGATGATGTTTTAAATTTTAATGTTATTACGTTAACTAATATATTTTGTTTAAATGATATGTTGTTACCCGCCCTGAGCCCGCTTCTGGGACTGGCAGGCTATAAACGTGAATGAATGAATGAATGAATGAATGAATGAATGAATTTGTCTAGGCCCCCATGGGCTGCCCTCATCACTTCAGTGACTGACACAAGTTCACTTACGAAGAGAAGTGGGGTGGCTGAAAGATGGAATTTCCTGCTCACATAAACCCTAGTCAGCTTTTTGCAGCTGATCTGTCAGACCCAGTATCTCTTCCAATTGCTTCCCATTTAGGCTTGCCAAGTCAGAAACTTACCGCAGCGGGGGACTCCTGGCTGGCGTCTGGAGCGTGCGCGCCCGAAGCACGCGTGTGTCGCATCCACGTCACCCGGAAGTGACGCAGGTATGCCAGGCACGCTGGGGGCAGGGCCAGGACCATCCGAGGGAAAACCATAGAGTTTTACCTCGGATGACCGTGGCCCCACCCCCAGCGTGCCGGGCGTACCCGTGTCACTTCCGGGTGATGTGCACGTGGGGGTGGAGTTCCCCGCTGGGGCCCGATCCGCCGGCGGCGCGGAATGGGCCTCTGGGGTGGGGGTTTCGGCAAGCCCATTCCCATTTATTCTGGAGTTGATGGTCTTTCTTTTAAAACACTAGATTGCTGCTGCTCTTACTGTCTCTCCAGGTGAGTGATCTGCAGCTCGCTGGACTTCTAATGTTTATATTTTTATGTTTGATGGATACAATATATGGTTTTACTTTATTTTTTGGCAAAACATTACATGTGGAAATTATCTATCAAGAAGTGACTTGAGTTCAGAAATGAAATCTTCTTTATTCACCCAAAGATGTCAAATGTGTTCAGTGCACATATACAAGTTAACTGCTCTTTTAAAACTGTTTATCTCTGTCAGATTCTTTTAAAATATCACCAGTTGCAGAAGATAACAAGTTGATTGTGCCATTGTCAAATTCTAATTACCACAAATTACAGTGAGACATTTCTGTTGTCATTTGCTATGATACTTTCTTTAAATTACAAACTGTCAAGATAGCTTTACAGTTCTAGGAAGAAATACTTATTTTGTGCTGAATTTATCCTCTGACATGCTCTTGAGGGAATTTAGAACATGTTTCTGATTAAAACTACAATGCTTAGCATAATTATTTGGAAATGAGGGCTCAACTAGATGAGATGTTAGAGATCTGTGATTGGATTTTCTGTCTCTTTAAATTACCATTAATAGCATATGGGAAGATAGATTTGGATTGGGACTGCATTGCTGGGGGAGCGTTTTGAAAACTTTTCTGCCTGCTATTTCCTTGATAGGGCAATCTTACAGGTGCTCATTAGGCTTCCCTGTGGATTCAAATAGCAGTTGCAGGGAGGAGGAGCATTTTAATCTGGAAAACAGCAAATGGAGGGAAGGATTGTCACCCCTTGGGCTTCTTTTTTGGGGGAAAGTACCAGAACAGAGTTCTGGAACCTCTTTGACAGAATTCTTTTTAAAATGTTTAAAATTTCATGAGTTTTCAGTGTACAGATTGTAAACTTCATTTCCCTCTTGAGAGTTCCAGGACCTCTGTTTTTTGTGTTTTTTTTAAAGCCATAGTCACTCCAGTCCAACTGCTCCGCCATGGCTGCTATTAATGGACATCTAAAGAGATAGGACATCCAATCAAGGTTTTCCAGTGTCTTCTGTAGCTGAACCATGCATCTTGTTTAAATCAATATGTCCTACTTCTGAATAAATATGTTTAGGATCAGTGATAGATGAGTAGTAGAGTATAGTATAATTTATTCGGTTTATAACCAGCACAAATCTCTATATCAAAACCACAGTAATGCCACCCTACACAGAATTTTAAGGATTCGATTATCTTGTGTATAACATTTATGTCTAAAATCCACAATTCTAAAAGCACTCAAAAAAGATCTAAAATGATTTACAGCGTAATTCAATAAAATATAACCTCACAAGTTCCTATGACCTCTAATTTACTTCTGGACTATCTTTGCAAATTTTATGAGCTATAGCTAAAAATTTAGCACAATTAAATATAAGCTGTGGATTAGGATCAAATAATAGTTTCCAGGTTACTTCCACATCTGTGATAGATGAGTAGTGTTCACATCTTCCCAAGTGAGGAAGAAAAAAGCAAATAAGGAATAATATTTAAAACTGCAAATGATTTAATACTGAGAAATATTCTAAACATCTTTTGGAGGAAAGGCTAAAAATCCAAAATATACCGGATCAACTTGAGAGCTGGACTACATGTGTGAAATGAAATTTGCTTTAAAGAAGAGTAAATATCACAGTTACAGGATGAGATGCTAGTTAGGCAGTAGAAAGAGTAAAACAGAATTGGAAGTCATGGTTGATGCCAGGCTGAAGATGAAGTTACATTTTATACCATGACCAAGAAGGCTAATGCCATCTTTATCTTCATGTGCAGTTCTTTCACATCCAAGACTCGAGGGAAAATATTGCCTCTTTGTTCATTACTTGCAAGACTGTGTGTGGAGAACTTTGTCCATTTTGGAGTATCATAGTTCAAGAAGGATTTTATTTATTGGATATTTACAGGTATGGGCCCACAATAACTGTGGGAGGGGATTCCTCTTCCCACTTTCTTGCCAGGCTCAGGGGCTGCCCTGAATTCAAGGGCAGTGCTGCTTCTGGCAGTGGGCCCAGCATGAGTCCTGGGTGGTGCCCAGCATGAGTCCTGTGTGGCTGCCACACTGGACCCAGCATGATTCAGTGACTGGATCACTGCTGGCGGTAGGCCCAGCACAACTCCAGGGTTGCCTGCTGGTGGTGGCAAGCCCTGGGCGGCTCCTGGGCTATGCGGCAACTGCCACCTGGGTCCCGGGCTGTGCAGCCACAGCTGTGGGGCCCAGCATGACTCAGGGACTGTGTTGTGGGTCAGCTTGACCAGTCAGAACTCAGCCTGGAAGAAGATTCCTCGAGTGTCACAGAACCTGGGCCCAGCTCACAAGAAACAGCTGAGGAAAGACAGGACCTCCAGGATTCAATGCTGACAGCTGACCCTGACTCCTCCAGGGGATGATCAAGAACAGCTAGGGCGGGATGACTCCCCTGATTCCCTCTCAGCAGCAGACCAACGCCGGGAGCGATTGTCCAGCAACTTACAGAGAGAAGGTGCAATGAGCGTCTCTTGTCTCAGTGCTGGCATTTGTAGGCTTGCCAAGTCCCCCCGGGGGGCGGGGAAATCCCCGCCCGAGAGGCCCGTTACCCGCTGCCGGTGGATCAGGCCCCGGGGGGAACCCCACCCCCAAAGCACGCGACGTGCCCGGCGTCAGCATGTCACCCGAAAGTGACACAGTTGCGTCGGGCATGTTGGGGGCGGTGCCGCAGTCATCAGAGGGAAAACTCTATGATTTTCCCTCGGATTATTGTGGCCCCGCCCCCCGGCGCGCCTGACGTGGTTGCGTCTCCCGGAGCAGTGCTCCCGGAGCAGTGCTCCCGGAGCAGCGCTGGAGTCCCCCGCTCTGCATACAGTAAGGACTTGGCAACCCTAGGTGTTTGGCTGACAGCAGCCCTGAGTAATTGCAGAACCTTGCCTTGCATAACTCAGCGTGTAGTGAGAGGCTTACTTAAAACAAGCTGGCATGCCTTTCCAGCCATGGAAGCAACGAGTCACGTATCTGTGAGCATATCAACCACAACTCCTGCCTTGCCTTGCACCCTGTGACTTTCAGACTGACCTTGGACTTTGCTATCTGGACTGCCTTTGGATTCTGCTTCTCAGACCTGTCTGCACCAAACGAATTACTGACCCTTGAACTGGGTTTGACTTCGCTTTCTGGACTGCTCTGGCACTGTCTCTCTGCTTGGGTGCCTGTTGTGCCTGCTAGCTGGGACAGTCTGCAGCAGCTGCTGGAGCTACTTATGGGGGGATTTATTACTATACTTTTTGGGGAATTTTACTACTCTACTTTTCAGGGATTTAGCCCCCCCCCGGTATTTTTTAAATTTTTTGAGATTTGTCAGCAAACCTGGGGAGTTCCCCACGTCTGCTGAAAAATCAGTTTAGCCTTCATGTGGCCCCAATCTGCAGATTTAGCTATCTGCAGAAGGGGCCATCGGAGTCATTGCTGGACCCAACATTGCTCATGGGCTGCACTGCCACCACCGCCAGCTAGGGTTGTCATTTCCTTGGCGGTGCTGGGGAAACCCCTGATTCAGCCCACCGCAAAACAGGAATTTTGCCATACGATTTCTCCAGGGTGATGACATCACCCGCAAGAGATGTCATCATGCCGGAAATGCTCTGGTATTTGGACAAACTCTGTGGTTTTGAGGAGAAAAAATCATGAAGTTTAACCAAATACCAGAACGTCCCCTGCATGATGTTCCTGCCAACCCCCGGAATGCCCCCAAAGTATCTGGCCCTGGCCCATGGCAGCCCTACCGCCAGCAGACTAAACATCATTTCCAGGCTCACACTCTCTTCCAGCAAATATTGGAGGTAAGCACAGAGAATGCAGTTTTATTTTTCAGGGGATTTAAATTCCCCATGTATTTTTTAAAAAAGTATTTCTGATTTTTCTGCACACCTGGGGAGTCCCTGAAGAGTAGAGAAAAATCTCTTTAGCCTCCTTGTGGCACTGATCCATGGATTTAGCTATCCGCAGATGGGGGCCATGGGTAGCTAATAGTTGTGTAGATACACACACATATATGGATGTTTAGGATGCTAGAAAAATCATAATGAGTCTAAATGAAAGGAGATTATATTTAAATAACAGGGAAAACTTTCCCAACTCTGATCAGTACAGCAATAAAATAAGCTTACTAAGGTATTTGTAAAATCTTATTATTTGTAGATGTTGAGGGTAAGGTTTAGACTGGGATACTTTCGTTAGTAGATATTTTACCTTACTACCTAACTCCTTGATAGCATTCTACTCCATTTTTTTTCTGTTGTTCTTAAGTCTGTAGCAGTTAATGCTTTCATTTTTGTTCAGTGTCAAAATATTCTGATCTAATATTACTGAAGGGGTTGCTTAATGTTGGAAATATTTTAATCTAAACTGTTAGGATATATGTGGATGTGTGACTCCCACCTACAGAATTTATTTATCCTGTTATCAGTTTGGTTGCTGCATTCTGCGAACCCAAAAGGAATGCAATATGAAATAATAAATACAGAGCCCTTACTTGTGCATTGATGGGAAACCAGATAATGGAAACTGAAATTTAATAGCAGTTAAAAGCTGTCATAGATTTAGCAGCATTTGGTGTTTTTTCTTTCACTGCAACACGGAAGGTTGCAAATTGAACATCAGCTTCGAGTGCAGCTTTGTCATAGCACGGCTTCTTGGGTCAAGGAAGATCATGGGCACAATCTTGTTGAGGTTAAAATTTGGTGTAGTGGTTAAGTGCGCAGACTCTAATCTGGGAGAACCGGGTTTGATTCTCCACTCCTCCACTTGCAGTTGCTGGATGACCTTGGGCAAGTCATAGTTCTCCCCTCTTTCTGTTTATACCTGCCAACTGAGTGTTTCTGAGAAAGTGGGATGTGGCTCTCAAAAGTGTAGGCCACAACAAATCTGTTAGTTTTGAAGATGCCACAAGATGCTTTGATTGCATCAGAGTAACATGGTCCCTTTGGAACTGTTGACTAGATCTTTTCAGGGAGTGGTAAAGGAATTGTGAAAGGGTTTTACTTCACCTTCAATCATGCAAGAGAGTCTATAATGGGAAGCTGTTGAATGAGGAAACTTTTCCCCTGGTGTTGCCTATGCCAGGAGAAACATGACATGTTTTACAAATTCTACAACCTTCTCTTGTCTTCCAAAATTTAGCTGGGCAGTGAGAGAAGCTAGTTTGGATTGTATTCCATGTTTGAGCCTCACCACTTCTTACAGTGGTTTCTTTCTACCTGGCATTCTGGGGCTGAAGAGATTCTGTGACTGCTAAATGGAAAGACATTTGTCCTCCTTTCCCATCTTCCAAGCAAGGAAAGTAGCAGCGATGCCCCTGGGAGAAGAAAGCAAGATAAACATTTTCCCGTCATGCAGTGCTCATTCACAGGTTGTGTTGCTGCTGAGGTCAGATTGAACCTGGTATACTCTGGGGTTGCCAGATGGGAAAGACACCAAAAACCTGATAGCTGACAGCTTTTGCTCCCCTTAGGGATGTCAGTGAAACTTGCACATTCTCTTTAGCCCATCCACTATAGTTGCACTAGATGGCACTGTTGGAATGTTAGAAAGATCTTAATCAGAGTTTTGTTTGTTATGCAAGTCCTGAAATCCAGATACCAAGGCAATGAGCCTATTTGAAAACTTTACTCTCTTTATTCTCAATGAACCCATGCTCACCATTATTTGCAATTCACTATACAACTCCATCTAAACTTTGATGACTCGCAAGCTCAGTATGTGCAGACTTTTGCCCATAATCTGTTTTATTTAATTAAAATGTACTGATGTAAACCAACTGAACTCAGTGTAACTAAATTGGCTTAACCCCAAATGCTTTTGCTTAACCCCCAGCTGTCAGTAAGTAGAGGGGAGAGTGATCACATGTGAGTTGGAGATTGTTTACTGGGGTCATATTTATGAGTTTATCATATTTAAGAAAAGAATTCAAATCAGTTAACAAGTATCAAGGCTGTATTTGAGAAAAGAGGAGGGACTGAAAATTTAGCTTTGAAAAACAACAACAACCCAGGGCCTATTTGCTAGGATAATAGGGACTTTAGTTCTTGGCAATCCGCCCAGGTTCAGGGAAACATTTGAGTTTTTCCCATCCATGGAGAGAAGTTGATAGAAAGCAGAGGAAAATATCAATAGCAGTTTGCTCCCAGAGGACAGAAACGTGAAAAATATTTTCAAAATTGGGGTTTCCTGTTTAGAGGAAATATTTGCTTTTCTAAAACTCACTTCTGCCAAAGGGGAGAGCAGTTTTGTTTCTGTATTGTGTATTGAGATGTAGAACATTCTGAACATATTTGGGAACTGAAGAGCAAAATGGTGGTTGTGAACTGTGTTTTACAGAGGACTTTACTCCAGTTCCATACAAGGCTCCACCACCTCCAAAAGTAGGAAGACAGATCCCACCATACAATGGATTTGGCTCTGAAGAAGACTCCCTTTGCTCCTGCATAGGCTTGCTTCCCCAACCACCCCAAAAGGACTTCAAGAAGTTCATGGAAAAAGACAGGTATATCTGAAACTGAAGTAGCTGATAGAACGTTCTCTCTTTTTCAAATTCCAGAACTGGAAGACAAAG